ATGATATTCAACACATATTTATTTTACTGGCACTTCAACAAAACTGGTGTTCAAACATAAACATAGATTAGATGGGACAGTAAGTAATTACTACGAGCTTTTTATTATAACAAGCATTTGGGGCATTTCTTTTCACATAATTGCTTTATTACTGGCTTGAAGCAAGTGTTCTTTATGATGTCATTGTCCATGCACATGAGTGAAATCTAGTCTAAACGTTTACAATCTCGCCATTCCGCAGTTTACAGTTGAACATATTGTTTGTTAAATACTCCATACTCTCTACTCCATCTGTTTTATATACTCTGAGTGATTGTAAAAGGTTTTATATTGCATATAATTAATTTAAACGTCAAATATATGTTTATATAGGGCAGGTCACTTTACAGACACATATTAGCATGGCGCCCTATGCTAGTGGGACGACCCTGCAGTTACCCCGCCCTGCCTCCTCAAAAGATATAATTATGGTACCCGTAACACAAGCCAAGTGTGGCCTGCACTCCTGTGTGGTACGGTAGGTGACGCCTGCTATAAACAATGGGTGAAGAAAGATGCTGATATGCCTTTATAAAGGCAATTCCATAACAGAAACTGCTATGTCAAGTCTTCCGATGCACTGATTGACCCGTTTCTTCAATATACTCCTCCCAACTATTCAGATTCTAATTTATAGATTTCGATCCATCTCCGAATCTGACTGGTAGTCTAACAACACAGTCTGCTTGTTAAACCATGACTACTGTCCGTATGCTAAGACATGTTTTTAGGTCATCTTTCAGTATACTCCTGCCATTTACTCAGCGTCTATTTTATGGAGTTCGATCAATCTACGTACGAGTCTGATTGGTAGGCAGAAACAAAGTCTCCACGTTACACCATTGTTTTAATGCTTAGACATATTCAGCGGGGTCCAACTAAAGTGGAATACTGTTTGTTGGCCTATTATCCTATTTCAAAGCTTATTTTTTCAGAACAAAACAAAATAAAAAGTGCCGCTATTCACAACAAAGTGCCTGTTTAAACAGCGCTAAAATATTAACGCCTAAAGAAAGGTACCAGTACTGTGTAACACCAAAGGGGGAAACAACCATGCCGCCCCCCCCCCCCCCCCACTTTTTTAAAAGTCGAGAGTATCGACTTCGCTGCACCAGGTTTATATCCCTTAGAGCTTGGTCCCTCTCACAGAGTAGCTATTCGTTCACATACAATTGTATAGCTCCAGCAAGGTCGTCACCGGGCGGCCTTGGCTTCAGCAACCATCCCTGAAAATCTCCACAATGCCTGCACTTGTCAAAGGGAAAACAAGGACCGAACCCGATCCCACACTCTGTATTTAGGACGCCAGGTAAACAGAGTGACCACTTCACGAAAGAGAACTCCTGTCTTTCATAAATAGTACCAACTTCTAGGCACAACATTCGGCCTCCTGTCCTTTAACAGTTAAAAAGCGAAGGAAAGGACCGAATGAAGGTGCTGAAGAATTCATAGGTCTATAGAAGAAGGTGTGGTGCTGTCGTCAGCCTTTCAGTATATTGTATGATACGTGTTGCACGTCATGAAAGGTGAAGACATGCCTCACCTGTATTCACTGTGAATGTTTGATATAAGGGATCGCTGGGCGGACTGTCAGGACTTTAGTATTCAGCAGCTACCTTACCCCATGTGTCAGCTCTTTGGAAATTAGGGCAGGGCAGGGCAGGGCAGACAGACAGACAGACAGACAGACAGACAGACAGACAGACAGACAGACAGACAGACAGACAGACAGACAGACAGACAGACAGACAGACAGACAGACAGACAGACAGACAGACAGACAGACAGACAGACAGACAGACAGACAGACAGACAGACAGACAGACAGACAGACAGACAGACAGACAGACAGACAGACAGACAGACAGACAGACAGACAGACAGACAGACAGACAGACAGACAGACAGACAGACAGACAGACAGACAGACAGACAGATAGATAGATAGATAGATAGATAGATAGATAGATAGATAGATAGATAGATAGATAGATAGATAGATAGATAGATAGATAGATAGATAGATAGATAGATAGATAGATAGATAGATAGATAGATAGATAGATAGATAGATAGATAGATAGATAGATAGATAGATAGATAGATAGATAGATAGACAGATAGATAGATAGATAGATAGACGGACGGTCGATTTAACTCATATCCTACAGATATCCCATAACACGGTATCCACCTAACGTCTATCTTAAATGTTCCCTATCACCACCAATATGCTATGCCTTAGTTTGGACATAGCGTCCTTACCTTATGATAGGCAAAGCGTTTAAAAAAAAAATCTAAGTCTTTAACTCAGTCTAGACAACACCGTGTCTTTATCTCAGTCTGAACACAGCGTCTTTATCTCAGTCTGGACACAGCGTCTTTATCTCAGTCTGGGCAAAGCGTCTTTATCTCAGTCTTGACCTAGCGTCTTTATCTCAGCCTGGACATAGCGTCTTTATCTCAGTTTTGACAGAGCATCTTTATCTCAGTCTGGACACGGCATCTTTATCTCAGTCTTGACATAGCGTCTTTATCTCAGCCTGGACATAGCGTCTTTATCTCAGTCTGGACAAGGCGTCTTTATCTCAGTTTTGACAGAGCGTCTTTATCTCAGTCTGGACACGGCGTCTTTATCTCAGTTTTGACAGAGCGTCTTTATCTCAGTCTGGACACGGCGTCTTTATCTCAGTTTTGACAGAGCGTCTTTATCTCAGCCTGGACATACCGTGTTTATCTCAGTTTTGACAGAGCGTCTTTATCTCAGTCTGGACACGGCGTCTTTATCTCAGTTTTAACAGAGCGTCTTTATCTCAGTCTGGACACAGCGTCTTTATTTCAGCCTGAGCACAGCGTCTTTATCTCAGTCTGGACAACACTGTGTCTTTATCTAAGTCTGGACAACACCGTGTCTTTATCTCAGTCTGGACAACACCGTGTCTTTGTCTCAGTCTGGACACAGCGTCCTTATCTCAGTCTGGACAACACAGCGTCTTTATCTCAGTCTAAACTTATAGTCCTTATCTCAGCCTGGACTACACCGTGTCTTAATCTCAGTCTGGACACGGCATCCTTATTTCAGTCTGGACAACACTGTGTCTTTATCTCAGTCTTGACAGCACCGTGTCTTTATCTCAGTCTTGACAACACCGTGTCTCTATCTCAGTTTTGACAACACCGTGTATCTATCTCAGTCTTGACAACACCATGTATCTATCTCAGTCTTGACAACACCGTGTCTCTATCTCAGTCTTGACAACACCGTGTCTCTATCTCAGTCTTGACAACACCGTGTCTCTATCTCAGTCTTGACAACACCGTGTATCTATCTCAGTCTTGACAATACCGTGTCTTTATCTCAGTCTTGACAATACCGTGTCTTTATCTCAGTCTGGACAACACCGTGTCTTTATCTCAGTCTGGACAACACCGTGTATCTGTCTCAGTCTTGACAATATCGTGTCTCTATCTCAGTCTGGACAACACCGTGTCTTTATCTCAGTCTGGACACATCGTCTTTATCTTCGTCTGGACACAATGTCTTTATCTCAGTCTGGACAACACCGTGTCTTTATCCCAGTCTGGACATTGTGTCTTTATCTCACTCTAGACATGGCGTATTAATCTCGGTCTGGACACAGTGTCTTTATCTCAGTCTGGACAACACCGTGTCTTTATCTCAGTCTGGACAACACCGTGTCTTTATCTCAGTCCGGACATTGTGTCTTTATCTCACTCTAGACATAGCGTATTAATCTCGGTCTGGACACAGTGTCTTTATCTCGGTCTGGACACAGTGTCTTTATCTCAGTCTGGATAACACCGTGTCTTTATCCCAGTCTGGACATTGTGTCTTTATCTCACTCTAGACATGGCGTATTAATCTCGGTCTGGACACAGTGTCTTTATTTCAGTCTGGACATTGCAACTTTATTCAAGTAATTTAAAGAGATTTAATGACAAGAGGTTAGATTTCGTTGTTCATTTTTGTTAAACCACTTTGGCTCGTTCTTTCTTCGTAGCCATGGCAACGACCCCCGTTTACATCCAAAATCGAAGTTATAGACTCCGAAATTTAACGCACCACTTTAAGAGCGAACCCACGACCTTCCGATCCGCGGCGCGCGTTGTTGCTGCTGGACCGTCGTTTCGGGTCCAAAGATTGTAGGTTCAAATCTACATCAAGCCTAGTTTTTTTTTTTTAACAAAATGACAATGACTACCAGGTCGAGCCAGCCTAAACAATAAGTCCAGGGAAGTAAAGGCGACCCACCGAGTACTGACTGGTCTATAAAACTATAGATCTAGCATTTGATGTCCATCAGCTCTACTGGCGTAGAAAAGCTTCCTTTTCTTTGCATACTTTAAGAGCACAAGGCAAGCGACATAACGACTGAACACTGAGGTTAGAACACGGGTTCACCTGAACTAGTGTGTTGCACATTAAACGCTAACGTCACTGATCATACAATCATTTTGTTACAGTTGCCTTTATTGTTCGAGCATAAAGCAAGTTTTACAATATGATATAAATGGTCCACTACATCGTGAAAGCATTGTTAACCGCACGAGGCCCGGCCGTGTGCATCGTTAAGTTTCTTTAACACAGCTGGCGTGAATAAGGAAGTGTAGGTACAGCGGATACATTCATTATTCACATAACTGTGTCAAAATTATACAGACTCCGTGACTATGACTTCAGAAAACAATGTACAGGCAAAATGTGTTTAAAGAAAGGGTCGTACAATTGCCATTATGTTTGTAACTGTCTTTTCTGCAGGTTTGCTTAAGTGTGCATCTTCAGTTTTCATGCAAAATCACCAGTTAGACCAGTGTTTGCTAGGCGTTAATGCACATACTTGGAACTGGTTGCAACGTTGTTATCAACACAAGTGTCAGTGGATTGCCGACTAGTAAAATGGTGTTATTTCAAGTGTGGACACGGAATCAGTGTGTGTAGGATGGACACAAGGCTCTTGGGGACGTCTCCACCTCCATTCTACAACAACACAGGTCAGTAGCACTCTCTATTTTTCTTCAATCTCCATTATAGATCATTAGTACTCTCTATTTCTGTACACTACAAAATTATATGGCAATAGAATTCTCCATATAGCTTCATATTCAGCACCACATATCATAAGAAATTTTTGCCTTCCTTCTTGCTGTAGCAATGATTAGAAGAAAAAGAAAAAAAGAAGAAGTAGTAGTAGTAGTAATAGTTGTAGTAGTAGTAGTAGTAGTAGTAGTAGTAGTAGTAGTAGTAGTAGTAGTAGTAGTAGCAGCAGCAGCAGCAGCAGCAGCAGCAGCAGCAGCAGCAACAGCAGCAGCAGTAGTAGTATTAGTAGTAGTAGTAGTGTTAGTAGTGATAGTAGTGGTGGTAGTGGTAGTAGTAGTAGTAGTAGTAGTAGTAGTAGTAGTAGTAGTAGTAGTAGTAGTAGTAGTAGTAGTAGTAGTAGTAGTAGTAGTAGTAGTAGTAGTAGTAGTAGTAGTAGTAGTAGTAATAATAGTAGTAGTAGTAGTAGTAGTAGTAGTAGTAGTAGTAGTAGTAGTAGTAGTAGTAGTAGTAGTAGTAGTAGTAGTAGTAGTAGTAGTAGTAGTGGTGGTGGTGGTGGTGGTGGTAGCAGTGGCAGCCTCAGCAGTCTCTACGACATTATACTATAACATTATAGATCATCTTCTCATGTTTTAATGATACTTTAGCCATGCTGAATCTGAAAGACGAAAAAAAAAAAATAGAACTTTGTGTCAACCAAAAGTTACAACTAAATACAAGAGCTTTAAAAACCGTAGCTCAGTAATTAAACAACACCTGCGACTGAACAGACATTAGCATCACAAAGTTTGAATTGTAAAAACAGCATGTGCATCATTATCCATCTCTGTAGCAACGTACGAATGCGAGTCATGGACAATGTCACCATTGCTGAATAAGAAAATGACAGTTTTTGTTCTTGAGTGTTGAAAAAAATTCTTGGAGCTATTTGGATATAGACAGGGAAAATACTGACATCTATAAGTCTGACTTATAGAAGGTATGACTGACTGATTATATCCTATATGGATATAGACATGGAAAATACTGACATCTATCAGGTCTGGCTCAAAGAAAATATGAATGTTTATATCCTATATAGATCAAGAAAGAGAAAATACTGGCATCTATAAAGCCTAGCTTATAGAAGTATGACTGTGACTGTTTATATCCTATATAGATCAAGAAAGAGAAAATACTGGCATCTATAAAGCCTAGCTTATAGAAGTATAAGTATGACTGTGACTGTTTATATCCTATATAGATCAAGAAAAGGAAAAATACTGGCATCTATAAAGCCTAGCTTATAGAAGTATAAGTTTGACTGTGACTGTTTATATCCTATATAGATCAAGAAAAGGAAAAATACTGGCATCTTTAAAGCCTAGCTTATAGAAGTATAAGTATGACTGTGACTGTTTATATCCTATATAGATCAAGAAAAGGAAAAATACTGGCATCTATAAAGTCTGGCTCATAGAAGTATGACTGTGACTGTTTATATCCTAAAAAGATCAAGAAAGAGAAAATACTGGCATCTATAAAGCCTAGCTTATAGAAGTTTGACTGTGACTGTTTATATCCTATATAGATCAAGAAAATGAAAAATACTGGCATCTATAAAGCCTAGCTTTTAGAAGTATGACTGTGACTGTTTATATCCTATATAGATAAAGAAAGAGAAAATACTGGCATCTGTAAAGCCTAGCTTATAGAAGTATAAGTATCACTGTGACTGTTTATATCCTAAATAGACCAAGAAAGAGAAAATACTGGCATCTATAAAGCCTAGCTTATAGAAGTATGACTGTGACTGTTTATATCCTATATGGATCAAGGCATGGAAAATACCGGAGTCTATAAAGTCTGGCTCATAGAAAGTATAACTGACTTTTTGTCTCCTCCGGACTGCTGCCAATCTGCTACCATCCCTGCGACCAAAAGCCTCGCGCTGGATGCTAGACAAACGACAGTGTTCTAGAACATGTCTGTTGGTAGACGAAACAAAAGGCAAAATAAATAATCTAGTTGTTAAAAACTTTGATGGCTAAAACAAAAAAAAAAAAACCAATACAATTTAGTGAAGTTCCAGAAGTTCTAAAAGTTGTTAAAAGGTCAGCTGTTGACCTAATGTGTTGAGCTGAGTTGGGTCAAGAATTGACATCACAGCACTCGGGGTATTCCCACGCATGCCCCTTCCTCCTCTGCAGCAGCCAGCGCAAAGTTCTAATACTGATGGTAACGGTCACAATCAGGGTAAAAGTCCGTCTTGTCTTTCCTCTGAGTGTAGTGAGCCGGCAAGACCCGCTGGTTACACTCAGGTGCTCTATTCTCTCGTGGCCATAATAATCTTCTTTCTCTACTGATTTCGTTGCTTGTTCCCAAAGGGCCTTGATCACACCTGCCTTGTCATGTATTGTTGACCTAATTAGTGCTCTTAGGTGTAGAACTAGATAATGTATGTACGAGATAATGCAATAAAGATGCAATTCCCGGGAGAGGCCATAGTTCGTGAACAGTCCTGTTATATGAGAGCCTCCCTGAAGCAGGTAGTGAGTAGGACAAAAACGTTCAATACATATCAGACGCAGCATAAACACTGAGTAGACACATACTTCAGGATCATCTTTATCTTCAGCTTTCGAGATGTCGACTCAAAGATAAAGAAAGGGATCAGTGGTGATCCCAGTGAGGAGGACTCTCAAAGACGAGACTCCATAGACAAGACACTAGACGAGACAGTCAACAACAGACCTAAGAGACAAGTTACATTGATCCATCTTCAACAGAGATAGCCTATGTAGAAACATTAACAATATGACGATTAACCAAATTTGTTTAGCTGAACTGTGTCGAGTTTCAAGAATCAAGTTCACAACACTCTGGGCATTCTCACATGTGCTTCACTCCTATTGAAGAGTGCCAACTCCGTTTGTACCAGTAGCGGCCTGACTGTATGTCCGTCTCGCCTTTTCTCTGAATGTGCAGTGTTGGCTGGTAACCCCCCTCCCCCAACCCACCCTTTTTGCGCTTGCATAATTCTTGTCAGACTGTGATAATCCAGTTGTACCACTGCATTGTCCCTTCGCTCCCAAAGGGCCTTGACAACATCTAGCTAGTTATGCCTCAGTTTGCCGTCGAGTTGTGCATAACCAGCCAGACTGTCTGTTTATTGGTTTCCCAACACACCTACACTACCTGGAGAAAATATCCAGTTAATGCTAAATACCCGGGACCTCTGAAGTAACATACCTGACTAGATTCCAGCAATGATATTGAATTGTTTGCACAAGATAGAAAATAATGGAGGAATAGATTCAGAGCCATATGTGACATAATGGCACAAGAGGACAATGCCAGCAAGTGTAGATGTCACATATGATATTACAATTGATTCTTTAACAACAATTGGGGACAGGCGGAGACTGGACGGACAAAGAAAAGTAGACGTTAAACAGCATTCAAAGCATATATCGTCTATAATAGCAGCAAAAAAACAAATACAAGTATACATTTGGAGAACCTTTCACTTTCATGTAGCATAGTAACCCGTGTCAGACGTGGGCCATTTCACTGCTACAATGAAAGATAATCGAGGCTAGAGATCGCTAGCATATTTAACCAGCCTGGTGTCCACACAGATGGTAGAGTAGAAGATTGGTCAGTGTCACAAACCTCTGGTATGACCTTGCCGGTCCGTGGCTCGCTAACTAGGCCTATGACAGACAGACTAACCTTTAACACACACTGAACCCGAACGCACACAGAGCACACACGACAATCTTTATTGGAGGTACAGGTAATACATAGACAGTTGACTTCCCGCCGTGTGGCCACCTATTGCCTGGACCCTCTGGCTGAACGGGCTTTACAATCGCCCCGTCCCCAGTACGTGCGACAGGCAATATTCTGGTGTACAAACCACAACCCGGCAGGATACGCTCTCTTCTATCGCCACGCTGACCCAATCAAACTGTCACAGTCTCTGTCTTAGTGCAGGGTCAGAGTGTCCAGGTTAGCCACTCTCTCACAGCACATATACATAAATACTCTACACAAGAACTATCCTATCCTAACACAAAACTGTACCTAAACTATCCAGTCACTAACAGAAATATATCCTAACTTTAATACTACAACATAAACTATCCTGCTAAACGTCCTCTCTTCCTGACCGACGCACACCGAATGTCCTTCTTCCTTCTACCTCGTGTCTCTTGACCCCGTTCACCAGCTCAGTCCCAAAAGCAGTCATCGTGTTACTACACCACAGTTCAGTCTTTCTTGCTTTATCCTGAGAGCTGGTTTCGCCGTGCGATCACAGAACAGACTTGACCAGTCACGGCCCTGACCTTTGTGTCAACCCTGGGGTGTCACGTCAACACCCCCACCTACGGTGTGGTACACTGACTGTACTTGATAGGGTTGTGACAGTCAGCCATTTTGGTGCTGTTGCCAAGTTGCTACAGCGTAAAAAGATTAAACTCTACAATGCAGGTGCAGCTGTATGTATGTGTAGATGGTAAATGGATATGACAGTTTAACAGTTTAGATAACGTCCAACAGTTGATTCACAACAATTCACGCCCAGGTGTTCTGATTATCTCTACAGATGGTTCTGTGTTGAGAGGAAAGAGAAGTGTCTGGGGGGTTCATAGCGAAAGCCAATGGGAAATCTGTAGTGCAAGACAGCTTAGCATACGACATCACAACATCTAGAAGGAGAATCGAGGTTGATGCGGTAACTGCAGCTCTTCGGTGGCTAGAGAACAAGATGCATACACATGTTGTCATTGTAACACTAACAGATTCTGAAAACATGCTGAGAAAGATAAAGGCAGTGATGCTTTGAGCAGATTGGCAAGCTTCGCTTGAAAGGTCACAGGTAGCGAGCATACTTTAGATCTTATCTCTAGGCCATGCCGACTTGGTGGGTAATGAACAGGCAGACTGGCTAGATCTACACTACTAGGTGGTGAATTGATCCATGACAAGGCAGATGGGGTCAAGGCCCTTTGGAAACAAGCAACGGGATCAGTAGAGAAATAAGATTATTATGGCTTGGAGAGAATGAGGCACCCGGGTGTAACCAGAGGGTCTGGCCGGCTTACTACACTCAGAGGCAAGGCAAGCGGACACATGACCAGATTTTGACCGGTACCATCAGTACTCAAACTGAAGATCAGGACGGAAATGCCCCGACTGCTGTAATGTCAATTCTGGACTTAACTCAACAGATAAATTGCCACTTCTGCTAATTCCGGATGTTACATTTTCGACTGTTCGTTTAGTAGAGCGCTGTGTCAGCTCATTGCAGTCACAACATTATGGACAGTAGTTTCTTTTTTTTTTTTTTTTGCTTCTTCTCAGTTGAATATTTTACTTACCAAAAAAAAAAAAAAAAAACCTGCCATTATTAATCTATGTTGTGTCTATGTACTTTTTTGTAGACAGGGGGGTGGTGAGCCAGATTATTCATAGCCGCATGGCTAGTGCTGTCACCACGGACTCTGAAGGTTGGGATATTAAATTTTGATCCCGACAGAAAAACTCTTTCATCTTTCCAGGGGTCGAGCCGGCAAAGGAGAGTTGAACGTTGCTTAGAAAGTTTTAGGCTCCCTTGTAGTTACCCCCCACCCCCCCCCCCCCAATCACCCCTTTTAGTATTGATCCCTGCCATCTTATCTCTTGCCGTCCCCACAGTACCAGATATATACATACATACATGTATAATACACACACAGGCAAGCACGCAGGCACACACACACACAAACACACACGTACGTACGACCGTACTTACATACGTACATACAGTATCTTTCTCTCTCCCCTCTATCTTTTCCTCATTTCAAACTGTTTCGTTGCGTCTATGGGTACTGGCAGCAGTCACTATTACTTTAAGCAGCCATCGCCTGGACAAGAAAGAGATTCCAAGTCGTAATGACCTGTGATAGACTAGCCTCCATTGTCCCAGAAATCCCCATAGGACAGCGGTATTTGCATATTTTAATGTGATCTATTTCTCCCGCAGGCTGCACACCGGGAGGTCACCAGGACACTATGGATTCTGTCACCAGCAACGGAGGATTTATCGCAATGGCTGCAGGTTTATCCATTGTAATTCCCATTGTTAGTGTGCTTGTCGTGCAACTTAGAAGGGCAAAGATGGCAGAAAGAGCCAGGCTGCGCGCTACACCAGTTGCTAGTGATGCTGAAGCAGACGATCCAAGGATAATCGACCTGCCACCACCTTACGAGCAGATGTTTGGGTCTAATTTTAATTCCTTCAACACAGTGGTACATCCAGTTCATTCCAGAAATTTCGAGATTTTAGTAGACGAAATTGAATCTGTTCAACAGCAGAGAAATGTTCACACGGCCGATCGAAGAGAAAACGAATTAGCCAACGTCTTCAGAGAACTACAACCACCCGGAATTACAGACATCGGGGATGACACATGTGGCGGTCAGGCGTGCGCGCGCAATGTAACACAACATCCGGGTAATTCTGACTCACTGATAGCTACAATCTCGGGACCTTACACCACAGAAACAGTTATTAGCAATCACGTTTCTTACACGTCAGACATAGGATCTCAAAGTACCAATACCAACATACCAAATACACTTCCTCCACCAATATATACAGACTTTCCAACAGTAACAGAACAGGAATCCACCCATCATGTTCATCTGTTTCCGGCAACGTCTGACCAAGAAAGGACAGACAACAATGAACACACTTATGTCGAAGTTGGTACACTGGTCGCACCTTGGCGCCATCCTGGCATGCATATTTCGTTTGAAGACTTTTCTGCCGGAGGTAACCAAGACAACCAAGCTGATTTTCCGCCGCCATCTTACGAAGAAGCTTTAGACATTCTGGAGAAAATCGAACTGGCCAAAGATCATGTGTATTGAATACTATAGGTCATTTATAGTGTGGTTGCCAAACTTCGTAAACTGCTATCTTGGGCCGTCCAAAGTTTGCACCGCTTTAGTGTGAGGGGAATGAGAACAATGTTAAGGTTTTTTTTGGGGGGGGGGGGGGGGGGGTGGGGGGGGGGGGGGGGGTTCTGATGTTTTATAAAAGTATGAAATCTAACAAAATCTAGTGGGGATTTACAGTACCGATGACATGGTAGTCAAGATTGCAACTGGCACCATAAGTACTGGAACTCTGCGCTGGCTGTTGAAGATGGGGACGCAGCGCTTATGAGAATTCTCTGAGTGCCGTGATGTCGGATCTTGAATCGACTTAACTCAACTTACGGAACGGATGGTTTTTAAGTCAAGAGTTAAAATAACACACAAAAAAAATACTGTCATATAAGTGGCCAACCGAACAACAGTATCAAAGTGAATGGTCAAGGCAGCCAGAAAAGCAAAAATCCTGAACCGTATATCTTCCACGACACTCGCATCCTTAACAGAGGAAGAAAATAAGAAAAAGTGATTTCACAACTAGCGTGACACCATGGCGGCAGCAGCACCGGATCCAGAGAATGCATACGTCAAGTTATGTTTACGCTCAAGGACACAGCGGTCTGTATTAAGACTGTTCACTGGTTTGCATTGTTGCGCACGTAAAAAGTTTACATTACAGTTGGAAATCGAAAAAAAGTAGCCTAACGGCGTTGCCCAGCGAAATTTGGAGTTAAAAACTCCTCGCCGGCGCTACAGAGCCTGTGCGCTGTGCTGAGCCTTTTCAGACTCAGACTTGAGTTAGGAGAATGGAGCACTTATGAGTTACCACCCTTGTGCCATGATGTTGATTCGTTGTTGAAAAACCTCAGCAAAAAACAAAAAAAAAAAAAGGGATACAAAGAAGGGGAAACAACCCGAGATCTTCAGCAAGAATTGACATCGTTGCACTCAGGAAATTCCCAAGCGTGCTCTATCCCCTTATTGGTTGGTCAATTCGTGATTCATCTTGATGAAAAACAATGCATGTCTTTCCCCGTCGGCATATTAAAAGTCGCTCAGATCACATGCTCACTATTATTCGATCATGATGTGTCCAACGTTTCGCCCTTTTTAGGATGAAATTTTTTGTTATTTAAAGCCCCACCCTGGCCTTGACCAGAGACTACAATATACGCAGGCCATAGATATGGCCAATTGTCTAAATGCGGTTTCTGTTACCTATCCACGGCGATCCTCATCCACATGGTGGCACCTTGTGTCATCGGGTGTTTATCGCTTGTGTGATGTCCTGGTGGGGTAGAAAGTCGGTCAGTCAGTCACTCCAGGAATGCCTTATGGCGTCAGGACAGAAAGAGATCTCTGGAATGGGCCCTTCTGTTCGCTACAAATAAAAAACGTTTCAGTATCTCTGATATGTCTGCGGTCCATTTCTTGACGGTACCACTTTCTTCATTCAGTGCCCTGGAACTTTGCATATCCACAAGTTCTAACTGCAGAGAACTTTCATCAGCAGACGATAACAGCTTTTTAGCATTCGAAGAAAAATCCCCTCAAGGGGGATTTTAAAAGGATCACGAACGAAAAACATTATATTGTTTGGGATAGTGAGGTCTTCATATTTGTTGTTGAAATTATTCTGAAGCTTTTTTTTTAGTAAATCTATCATACGATTAGTTATGGTTGCTGAGTCTAGTGTTGAAGAAATAAAATCCTTTATGTTTACATATGATAAAGTTTGGCTGACTGACTGACTTTCTACCCAACCAGGACATCACACAAGCGATAAACACCAGATGACACAAGGTGCCACCATGCGGATGAGGATCACCGTGGAGAGGTCCCAGAAACCGCGTTCAGACAATTGGCCATATTGATGGTCTGCCTATATTGCGGCCCCTGGCAAAAGCCAGAGTGGGGCTTCAAATAACAAAAAATTACGTCCTGGGCATTGGGCTTATAAAGTTTGGCTGTTTGGAGATCCGTTACAAATAAAGGCAGCTTATCTCGAAAAGCGTTCAATGATTGCCTTGTGTCTTCCTTGCAGTTGCAAGTTCAGTGTGTTCAAATGAGCAAACGAATCGTTTAAAAAAAAAAATACATTTGCCAAAAATGCAGTCACCTAATACTTTCCTATACTTGTCTGCCTTGTTATAGAACAGTTTAAAAAAAAAAAAAAACCGCATTATTTCTTCTTTGATACTCTAAAAACGATGAAGTGACTTCCCTTTACTCAGCCAACGAACGCCATTGTGCAGAAGTAAGTCTTTGTAATATGTTTCGTTTCTTCAAGTAACTGCAGAAATAATCGGTGCTGAAGACTTGAAAAGGATTGAATTAAAATTATTATTTTCATCGCCATATTCATTGTTTCCTTTATCTCGTCGCTCAATTTGCTGCACAGAACAGTTTGATGACAAGACAAAGTAGCGACTGTATTTGAGGTTCTACTGCAGCAAGTTTGGTCTTAACCAAACATTGACGGCGCCCCGTCCGTTACCAATAAACAAATGTTATTCAAATCAAGTCCATATTCTGTGAAAAATAACTAAATCTTGTCAGTAATAACTTCTCCAGTTGTGAAATTTTCGAATGCTACTAAAGCTATAAGTTCTTGACAAAAACATTTTTCATCGAAAAAAACTCACATATAAACATAACTGAGCCACGTCTATGATGTCCGTAGATTCATCAATGGCAAGTGACAAAAATTCTGCCTGATTTATGCTTTCAATTAGAAATTCAAAAACTTCCTTTCCTAAAATTTCGATTCTGCGTATTGTCGAAGTATCCGACGCCGGGATTTTCTAAACTGCATGAGCCACGCTTGTTATTTTGTGATCAACTGCTATGTCGTGAAGAATTGTTAGCATGCATTCGTTCATGGTTCCTGAGTCAGTAAAAGACCGCTTTTGTTGTTGTTGTTGTTGTTGCTAATATTAACGAAACATGCAAAGAAACCGCTGTGGCTTTTTCTTTTTGAGTACAAGCTCGCACAAACATTCTGCAACTCTTGATTTCCTAGCAGTGAAAGCTTCTGGGTATGATTTTCCGAAACCAGCATGTTTCGTTGTAAAGTGCCGCTTCACGTTGCACTCCTTTACTGGCGATACACATTCGTTGCATAGTAAGCACATTTGTTTCGAATTAGGCATTGTTGGTGATATAAATCAATATTTCAGTGTCCAGTCATTGTTGAGCGTACGAATTTCACACTTTCATTTAACTTTCTTACTAGTACCAGCCATGGCATCAAGTATTTCACTTAATTATTGAAATGTAGATAAGTTAAAACACTGTTAGTGTTTCAGTTTGTTACTAGACAATCGCGTCCGGCAGTCTGTCTGTGACTTCAACACTAAACGTTTACGAAATATCTAATTATAATCTGACAACAAGATCACTAGCAGGTATTCTGCGGTGTCCACTGTCACTGGATTTGGCCCGCGGGCCGCCAGTTGCAAAGCCCTGCTCTAGAAACACGTCTTCCACGACTGCATGCACATTGTGAACTTTTTGCCCACGTCTCTGTTACCATCATAATTTTAATTCGTGAATTTTGCACACAACAACCACACACCCACCAGATTTATTGTTTCTATCATGAAATCAAGGCTGAAGGGTTGCGATATCCGTAGCATTGATCCAAAGGGTTGCAATATCCGTAGCACCGAGCCAAAGGGTTGCGATATCCGTAGCATCGAGCCAAAGGGTTGCGATATCCGTAGCACCGAGCCAAAGGGTTGCGATATCCCTAGCACCGAGCCAAAGGGTTGCTATATCCGTAGCACCTAGCCAAAGGGTTGCTATATCCGTAGCACCGGGCCAAAGGGTTGCTATATCCGTAGCACCGAGCCAAAGGGTTACCAACTCATGGTTTCTGGATATTTAAAAAAAATCCCATTCCTTTGCACCCACACATGTACAGAAAAAGATATATACACACACACAGATATATATATATATATATATATATATATATATATATATATATATATATATATATATATATATATATATATAGAGAGAGAGAGAGAGGGAGAGAGGGAGAGAGAGATCCATCGTGGCCAATGACAGCTACATTTTCCTCTAAGAATAATTAGATTCCCGACATGTTCTGCTATATCTATTTAGTTAGTTCATGTTTAACTTCCTGAGACATTGCATGTGAACAGTACAGACCATGTCCCAGACACGTCTTGACTGACCGGCAAAGACTACACAAATGACTTCAAGAAACATCAGGAGGCAAGGAATAGCTAGCATACAAAGTTTATTTGGCTAAAGGGGCAGATTTATCTTGTATACTTAAATGCTTCTCGAAGTGACACAGCAGTTAGGGCATGCAGTTAAACGGTTCTCATAGCGACACAGTAGTGTGTGGTTCACCTGGGGCATGCAGTTGAACGGTTCTCATAGCGACACAGTAGTGTCTGGTTCACCTGAGGCATGCAGTTAAACGGTTCTCATAGCGACACAGTAGTGTGTGGTTCACCTGGGGCATGCAATTGAACGGTTCTTATAGCGACACAGTAGTGTGTGGTTCACCTGGGGCATGCAGTTAAACAGTTCTCATAACGACACAGTAGTGTGTGGTTCACCTGGGGCATGCAGTTAAACAGTTCTCATAACGACACAGTAGTGTGTGGTTCACCTAGGGCATGCAGTTGAACGGTTCTCATAACGACACAGTAGTGTGTGGTTCACCTGGGGCATGCAGTTGAATGGTTCTCATAGCGACACAGTAGTGTGTGGTTCACCTGGGGCATGCAGTTGAACGGTTCTCATAACGACACAGTAGTGTGTGGTTCACCTGGGGCATGCAGTTGAACGGTTCTCATAACGACACAGTAGTGTGTGGTTCACCTGGGGCATGCAGTTGAACGGTTCTCATAGCGACACAGTAGTGTGTGGTTCACCTGGGGCATGCAGTTGAACGGTTCTCATAGCGACACAGTAGTGTGTGGTTCACCTGGGGCATGCAGTTGAACGGTTCT